GCTGGTTTGTGTGTTCTCCAACACAACTCTAACAACGCTTCTCTGAACGTACTCGCTCTCCCAACGGGGAGCTTACCTAACAACCTTCCCAAATGGCTTCCGACAAGCAAATGAGGAAAGCTGGATTTGCTTAACGGATGTGACAAAAAAAAGTTGTAAAATTGGATACAGACACATGTTGACTCACTTATCGCTTAGACCATATCGCTTAGGGATGGGAGTTCCGGCCACAGTTGTGGTTGTAAGTCAAGGACTTCCTGAGTATGAGATCACTGCACTTACAGTAAGATTCCAGCCCCAATGATCATCTTTTAAGCCCAATACTGCATAGTAGGGAGACATCATAGGCTGTCCTGCCAAGCATGAATCCTAATATAGTCTCAAATGGTGTGAAGTATAGGGAGTATCCACTAAATCAGGGGTCGGATCTGGCTTGTGGGGCCGGATCTGGCTTGTGGGGTGCTTAAATCCAGCCCACAGGGCCAGCCTGGAAATATCAAAGGATACACCCACCCCTCACAGGCCTCGTTTTTATCCTCCATGGCCTCCTGCAGCACTCTGCCACCCGAAAACAGCTGGCAGAGTGCTGCGGGAAGCAATGGACCGGAGGTGAAAATGAGGCAAAAGGGAGGCATGTGCAGATCCCCCATGCCCCGTTTTGGCCAGCAGGGTGCTGCAGGAGGCATCCCCCCCCCATGGGAAATTACAATGCTGATCCCGCCCTCGAAGAAATCCAGTTTGACATCCCGGCACTAAAGAGTTCTTGCTTTTCAGTGATAGCTCCACACTTTGGAATATGCTCCGCCTGAAAGTCTTCCTGGCTTTGACCAAAAGCCCCAAATATTATTTTATTACAAGGCGTTTTCATCCGTTAGCATCTCTGAGGGCATCTACTATGTAAGTGTTTGGTTACACTTCTAAACATTCAGATTTTATGTGACAAAATAAACACAAATCTAAGAGTTCATCTACTGGCTCAGACTGGAGGCTCAGCAGCCCACCATCCAGTTCCTTGTTAGAAACTTTTATTAAAACTACACAGCCTTAAAAAATATCACCCCACCCCATCACCTTCTCCAACAACTGGAGATAGAATATGCTTCTGAATATTGAGGATATGTAGATAACATTTAATCTGTTGGCTTTCCAAAAATAAAACCAGAAGAGCACTCGTGTTAAAGGAGTAAAAATAATCACTCAGTCTGAATATACAGAGGTAAACAAACTGAAACTGGAGCCTGTTTTATGTTTTTTTTTTAAATCTTCCCAGTTAAGAACTTTTTTTTTTTGCTCACAAACTCCCTGCCTCTGTAACAGCAGCTACACAGCTGCATCTTTCTTGTTCTCAACCCCAACTGGGAGCTTCCACATCAAGGCAGCACTATTTCTAGCTGCCTGTCAGTAGGATCATTCATAACACACAGGACAGAAGTGATGAAGAAAATGGTGCTTTTTATGGTTAATAAGCTTCCCTGCGGGGGATGCCATAGAAAGATTATTAGAGGAGGGCTGGGAGGGGAGAAGAGAAGTGAAGGAGTCACAGCTTCCTCTATACTGGAATAGAAACCATTGTGTAGAAGGCTATTATTTATTACAGTACCAGAATCAACTCGGGAGCCTGGTGCTTAGTTAAGGCACAGATGTGGAATGGGCAGAGCAAATGGGAACTTTTGTTTTTAATTTCTTTTAAGATCGTTCGTTGCCGAGAGTCACTGAGATGGGCAGCCATACAAACTGAATAAATGTATACATAAATAAATAAACAAACAAATAAATAAAAACTAGTTTCCAGAAGCGTTGCACAGGAGGATATGCAATCCCCATCTGCCCATAAAATCCAGTCATCTCGGAAGCTCAGTCACAACACAATCTGTTTTTGGTGTAGATGATATGTAGACCCAATTCTTATATTGCAGGATCATGCATGGATCGGCCTACCATCAAATTACGTATTTTAAGAAAATTCTAACTTCAAATTAGTTAAATTAGCCAGAATATTTCATTTTTAAAAGCCTTTTCATATACTGATCATTGCTACAATGAAGTCTAGAAAGTATTTATATGGGACGCACCAAATTCCTTTATTTTGTTTGCCTCAAGCTAAATTGTTTTGTTCCAACAACAGCTTCTTGTTTTATAAGGGGGGAAAAAAAAACCCTCTGCCACCACATCACTTGAAAAAGATCTGACAGTTTCTTGACTATTCAGCCACTTTTGCTTCCATCTCCAACTCTTAATTTTAATTTGTATTAGAATGCAAATCTCCAAAGTCTTGACTACTTTCTCCTCCATCTCCTCAAACTCAGTGTTCCTACCTGAAGATTGTTCAGAGGTTCCATTTTCATGACTGGCCCCAAGGTGTTGAGCGGAAGAGAAACATCAATGCTTTGATTTGGCATCAGAGGAGTGTGAATGGCCAGTGGGGTGCTGGGGATGACTCCAAAGCTGGATGGTTGGGGAGGAGGGAGAGAGAGAGGGGGGGAGAGAGAGAGCAAAGAAGGTGTAACATTGAACAGAGAAGCCAAGAAAGAGAAAGTGTACAACAAAAAGGGTGTTTAGTTGACTGCAAGGTCTAACCTGTTCTTGTTGAATTGAATGGCAAAGTCGCTCATGTGTTGAAGAGCCTTGTTGGTGAAACTCATATCCATATAGATATGTCCTTGCCGATGACCGAAGGTTCCAGAAATTTCCAGGCCTTTGGCTTTCACAGCCGGCAACCAGACCTATAAAGTCATGAGGACTAGCAGTTAGAGCAAGCAAAACTGGGGTCATAAAGGGTCAGAATCATTACAGTGAGATTCTTTATCATGATAGACAGTAATGTTGAATGGGTGTGTTCGGCCTATCCACTTCAAATCCATTTTATATATTGGTATATAATGATGACTGAATCTCAGATGGCAGCATAGATTCTTTCCAGCTGATTTAGAAAAGCTGGAGTGGAAAGGTCTCAAAATCCATTTACAGTACTCTGAACAGAGTTCACAATAGTTTGGCAGTAAAAGAAGAGGATTTAGAGAGGAAATAGCATGCTCTAATTGGCAACTTGAAGACGTGTGGATTTCAGCTTCCAGAATTCCCCAACCTGCATGCTGCATGCCATAACAAAATAAAAAAAAACCCAGAACCACCATCCTGGTTTCACTTAAAACTTTTCGCTGTAGTACTAAATGAATTTGTTTTTTTTAATTAAAGTTTTTTTTTTACATATCAGTGTGTGAACAGTGTGGTACCTGAGTATCATACATTTCATACCCCCCAAAAAATTAATGTTATTCATATTTGTTTCATTTAACATCTTATATACTACTAGTAATAATACGCATCTTTATATTAAATTTTAATCTTTCGCTGTTTAGTTTTTCAATATTTCAATATGCTATTTTATACCAATCACCCTGTCTTGATTATCGTACCTTTTGATGTGAATAAAATATTATCAATCTTATTTGTTACATTTAACAAACTTATATAACTAATATTAATACCAACATTTATCTTCCATTAAAATCTTCCATTATTGCTTATTCAACTTGTTATTTGACTGTTCAATATTTCAATATATTGTTTTTTATATCAATCACCATATTCTATCATAATACAAGTAAAATATTATTAATCACATATTATTACATTTAGCATACATATGCATATTCATAATGAATTATCATTTTTTAAATGAATTTCTAATGGATGCAGAAGCTCATTTCTGCTCAAAGGCACAGTTACTCACTCAGAAACAGTGTGAAACACAAAAGAGAGGCATGTCAAAAAAAACCACCACCACCAACAACGACTGATGAAGAGATAACCCTGGCAGAAGAAGACAGCTCTCTGGCCAGGTTTTCTCACACCTACCGATTTGGGAGCCATATATCCACCAGGTGCCATGCCGATGCCAGAAGAGAGTTCAAAGAGGTCATTCAGTCCACTGCTGACTGCAGCTGGGGTAGGGGAGGGAGCAAATGTTGCTGGGACTGATGATGGGATGAAGGTCTGTCCCACCTGCAGGAAATCAGGGAAGATATTTAAACATAACAGACACCTCTATGAAATAAACCAGACCATTGGACGCTATTCTGAATATTTTAAAACGTATTCCTAGCATTTTGCTGAATGATCAAGGGTACTAAATTGGCACGTCGGTGTGCTCTCTGCTTTAAATCCCATCTCTACTACCCATCACTATGTGATTGAAGCAGCCATTAATAGCCAACCTGTCTTCTCCAAGAGACTCTGAAAAGTGAAGAGCAAGGACATTCAACTTCAACAGCTAAAGATGAGGAATTGTATCAACGATGTGAGTGAACTCTCCATAAGTAGTTCTCAGTCATAAACAAGCCCTCAACAACCATGTAGTGAAATGGGCTCAAAGCTGGTGCTTTCAAAATAGACCAGTTGATCATCCAGGAAGTACCATGGCCCTCAAATCCATTTAAATAGAACTGGAACACTTTGCTCCAAGGACAACAGCAGACCACAGCTATTGATGACCCTTGGAAATTAGGAATGTGAGTTGACCAGTTCTAGTTCATTCAATGACTTTAAGTTGTTTGGAATTTCTCACCAATGGTACCGAGGGCTCTGGATACCCTTATGTTTCCCATTTATAGGTTTATGGAGCTCTGGGACCAAGCCAAACCTGAAAGCAGGTTTTTTTTTTTTACAATGACCCTGGTGTCTTGCAGAAACCCCGGGAATCCTCCAGCTTGTTTTCCTTGGTTCTCCATTTTTATCTTCTATGACCAAGCAGTGATACATCGATTTCACATGGAAAAAATATACTGTGATCACAGATCTCCCCAGTAACAGAACCCCAAATTTCTTGTCTATTCTACAAGTCGACCTTGCTACCAAATTCTCTTTTCTCTTCCTTCCACTATTTCAGTGTTTTAGATGGTTCTCTTCTTTAATCCAGAGAACATGTTGAGAATGTCAACCCTGGGCTATCTCAGCTGCACAGATTTTAGAAGAATGGATGGGAAAAGAAGACCACAGAACGAAAGCCTGTGCGTTATAGTAGTTAAAGTTGGGAAGATGGGAGATCCTGTTTTCAAATCCCCACTTAATTCTGAAATATATTGGCTAACTTAAAAGCCTGGTTACAAAGTCTCAGCTCAGCCTTGTTTCATAGGACTGTTGTAAGAATAAAATTGAAGGAGAAAATACTATGTGTGCCAAAATGAACTGTTTCCGAAAGAAAGATGGAGTGTAAATTCAACAAATAAATAATAATTTTTCAATCAGAACTGAAAAGGAAAAAAACAACAACGAATGGAGGGCACTTACTGCTGGGCTGCCTCCAATTCCCCCGCCAAGGTCACTGCCAAGCTGCAAGAAAGAAAAGAATAGAAAAAGGAAGAGAGAGAAAGAGAGAGAGAGGTAAAAAAAAAGGAAGAGAAAAGGCAGGGGAAAGAGAAAGAGTTCATTACAGCCAAGTTATCAGGTGCCAAGAAATAAAGATCATGTGATTCCCAAAAAGGCCTGGCACACCACCTGTCCCCCATCTGTTTGCCCAGAGAGAATATTGACCCAGCAAGGACAGAGAGATCCACAGATATGAAACCCCCAAATTCCACAGGCAGGGAAGTGGGATTTGGTTGAAAGCACAAAGAATATGCATCAAGGTCTTGTGAGCAGCAGCAGAAGGTGGCTGCTAAGACCTAGATAGAGGTGAACTTGCACATTCATCTCCAAGATACAATTTTCAAAAGCCAAACGGCCCTCAGGCTTGTCCCCACTGTTCCTAGAGAAGGACACCTCACAAACAGCCATGGTTACTTCTCTCAGACCTAGCATCAACCAGGGCTTTTCACAGCATTCCAGAAGCAATAGCAGGGCTCCTTCTTTCTTTGCCTTTGTAGACCTATTCATGCTAGTCATTCAGGCAATATGGCGGCGAGGGAATGTGGTGAGTAAGGACAGCTCTTCTGAACATGCCATTCTTGCTAACTGTTATGGCCCGCCAGCAACCAGTGGAGCTGGCAGTAGATTTGGACAGTGAGGAGGTTGGGGAGGAACATGAGCCAGTCCTGGAGTCTAGGGAAGGCTCTGATGAGGGCTCTATGTCGGCGGCAGAGAGGGGGCCAGAGCTGTATGCCAGTTATCAGCTGCCTTCAGAGTCAGACATCACTGAGCCAGACAAACAGCTGGAGTCTGTTCCCAGTGTGTGCATGCACAGAGTTGCCAGATGAAGGGAACAACTAAAGAACAGGAGTCGACCTGGCAGTAAGGCCACAGGTGGACAATGAATGGCCCCTCCGAGAGGAAATAAAAGATGAGTGGAGTTTGCAGGAGATAATTAGTTCGCTTAATTGGTTCGTGACTCTCCGAGACTCCTTGCCAGGTTTTGCAGATATCGGCCTGTCAGCTCTCCAAGCCAGATAAGGTCTGTGACTGTAAATCCTCCCCTGAAAGACTTTGCTGGATGTGAATGAGCAGAATTCACAGTAAATTAATAAAAGGGGTTTTTGTCGGGACAAGGAGTTTGCTTCATGCTCTTTTGGGAAGCCCAGGTCAGAACAATTGACTGCAGAATTTGTGTAATAACTATTGCTTAAAAAAAAGTCATAAAATCAGGTGGGATAATATGGCAACTTGCTTAGTGACTGACAGGACTTACAACC